CAGGAGGAGGGGACAAGCCAAGCTCTGAGAGAGGAGGCAATGAGAAGGGAAAATGCTCTGCAGCAGCTCCGGGCTGCCGTGAAAGAGGTCAGGGGGGGTTTGAGTGAACAGTGCATTGTCTCTGAGCAAGGCCCTGAATTCAGTGAGCAGCTCAGTCTCTCCTGCTAGTCATTGTCTTGTTAGGGCTGGGAAGGGAAGCAGGAGGAGCAGGTTGTGCCTCGGGAATTGATGGGGATGGGATGGAGGAGGCTGAGTTTGCCAGCTGGGGGCAGCAGAACGGGAGCCCAAGCACAGCCCCGGGGTCAGAGCTCCCTCCCAGCCCTCTTGGCAAGGTGCTGGGAGCTTTCACTGCCCTGGCTGGCAGGGACAGTGCAGCTTCAGTTCCCCTGTGGCAGTGACACTCGCTGCTCTGGCCACGGCCTGGAGGTTTGCATGCAGCCCAGCCCCTGCCCCAGTGCTCCCCTCACACAGCAGCTGCTTCAGCATGCAGTGCTGCCCCTGACGTGCGCTGTCCGTGTGTCCAGCTGTCCGTGCAGAACCAGGAGCTGATCGAGAAGAACCTGACGCTGCAGGAGCAGCTGCGGCAGGCGCAGCTGTTGGCGCAGCCCCTGCCTGCTGACAGCGCCCGCCTGGCCCAGGAGCTGCACGGGGAGCTGGCCAGCTGCCTGCAGGACCTGCAGTCTGTCTACAGCATCGTCACCCAGAGGGCTCAGGGCAAGGACCCCAACCTCTCCCTGCTCCTGGGCATTCACTGTGAGTACCTTTCCTTTCCATGGCACAGCAAACCCTTCTGTCTGTGCTGTGGCAGAATGAAATAACTCACAGAGAGCATGGGAAGTGCTCTTTCTGGGCTCCTGAATGCTCTTTCTGTGCTTGGCTTGCTTCAAAGGTGCATGTTCTACTTAACATTCAGTTATTACAACCTCTTTTGCAAATGTGAGTTGGTTTTTCTGGCTGGTTTGCAAATGTGTGCGATTCTTGCTGAGAACTGCGTGTGAGGAAACTCCTCCTTTCTCTGACCCCGCAGCTGTGCAGTGCCCTGTGAAGGAGAAGGATGACCTGCTGAGCCCTGACGGACTGGCCAAGAAGCTGGTGGAGGTAAAAGAGCTTCACAAAGAGGTGGAGGACTTGAGGACTGCAATATCTGACAGATACGCTCAGGACATGGGAGACAACTGCATCACCCAGTGAAGAGCACTCCCCAAGTAAGGCAGGGAATGAAGACTTGAACCTGTCAGGAGTCCTGTGCTCCTACAACCCTAAACTATTCAGCACTTTACCATCCCTCTGCTTGGGTACAGGACGTATGGCCTGTCTGATCTGTGAGGAATCAGGGGGTTTGTGGCCAGAAGTGTTCAGCTGCTGACTGGGATAATTCAGGGCTTCGGTGTCAGGCTTTGCAGTAGCTTTGATCTTGTGGAATGTGTTTTATGCTGTGTTTGCTGGAGCTGCCGTGGCCTCTGATGCTGGGAGATGGATTCTGACTTGCCTTGCAGGCATGTCAAATGCTGAGCATGCAAGTGTGACAGTTAAAATGATGGCTGAAAGGAAATGTACGCCCTGGTCTCGCTGATAACCTCCCTGTGCAGGTCCTGTGGGACCAGAGGCTCGTCAGGGTGTTTGTGGGATATCTGGGCTCCACGGGCAGGCAGCTGTGCCAGTTCCACTGCTGGCATTTACATCGAGGTGCTGCTGCCTTGCACTGATGGAGCAGGACCTGCTCTCCTCAATAATGCAGCAATTCAGCAGCCAGCACGAGCTGAGGAGTAAAGCAACACTAAAAGACTCTGGAGCTGCTCCCCCTGGGCACTGTTACCCCAGAAGCCTTAAGCCTGTTGTCCCCCTGCATCAGCACTGGCAGTGGGCTGTGATCACACTGCAGAGCCAGTGGATTGGTGCTGAAGTGCCTTAATGAGCTGGAAGAACCCTCTGTCCCCACTCTGCTCTGTGCCTAATGCATCCCCTGGCAGGTGAGGGGCTGCTCTTCCCTCTCACAGCCTTTTAGAGCCATCAAACCATCCTGGGGAGCCCCAAGTGTCTGTGGGCCCTGCCAGAGCCCCCAAGAGCCTCTGTGCCCTGGGGACGCCTCTGCTTTACTGGAGAAAGCCATACTGCTCCTGATGTGGAGGGGTGGCACAGGGAGCCCTTCTGCGGCCACCTGGGCTCTGTCCCAGCCCTGTCCCTCCTTCCCTGCTCCTCTGTGAGTGATGGCATTTCTGAATGAGTCCCTGAGGGGTCAGTCTCACTGTCCCACCACAGCTTTGCAGGACTGAGGGCGGAACTTGGGTTTTCATCTTAAGAGCAAGATGCCCAAGCTGTGACAGGGCAAGTCCTGCTGCCACTTGTGATGTTTGGCTGCTCTTGGTTCACCCTGGGGCTGTGAGCCCTGGGTTTGGCAGAAATGCTTTTGTTGTTCCTTTGTGTTACAATTTTAAGACCAAATCTGTTTTGTTCTCGGTGTTTGGCCACCATGGGGGACTGGTTGGTTTGTGCCACACAGGGAGCACACAGCCGTGTCTGTCTGTCTGTCCTGCTGTCCCCGGGTGTTCTGTTCCTGGCTGTGTCTGTCCCCAGGCTGCTGGTGCTGTGTACTGAGCAAAACACATTTCCAGGGCTGTTTTGAAGCCGTTTGTCCTGACTGCTGGGAGCTCTGCTGGCTCCTGCAGCTTCTCAGGGGCTTTGGGGGTGCAAGATCTCGTTTGTGGGTGCTGTGAGGGCACAGCTGTGCCCTCTGCCCCTGCGGAGGTGATTCTGAGATGGGATTATTGTGGCTGGAACCGCCTGGCTCTGTCCCAGCTGCCCTGTCCTGCGTCCCCTCCATGGGGACATGTCCTCTGCTCAGCCTCCTGCTCAGCTGAGCCCCTCTGGCCCTGAGGGTGATGCTGTGCTGTCTGCTGCTCTGCAGGGAAATCCTGGGCTACAGAACACCCCAGCACGGTGTTCCCTCCCTGTCCCCCGTCCTCGTCCCACGCGTGTCCCCCGGTGTCGTGCCCGGTCCCGTTGGGCTCGGTGTCTTTGTCCCAGCCTGTGTCTCGGCGCTTGTTTGTATCGGGTATTTGGAGTATCAAATAAAGCTGCTCTGCCCCATCGTGCGAGGCCGTCCTGCCTGGGGAGGGA